ATATCCAAAGGATGGGTTTTGCCAAAAGCCAGATAAGCAGCTACTCCCACCCCATGAGGTGAGAGGAACAGAGCATCCACCTTCCCCTCTCCCTGCCCCTTGTGTGCGCAGCGCTCTCCCTAGTTGAGTGAAGACGATGCTCACTGAGTTTTCCAGGGTACCTGAGGCTGACGTAAAACAGAGAAGGACAGATGCCCATTAAACACTGCCTGTCGAGCTGTCCCAGGCATGACTGCGCTGAGAAGGAAGGACTGATGAGGACGCCTGATGGGCAGTGGAGTACGTCCTCCTCTGGGAGCAGCAGCAGCTAGCTGAAAGCCTACGTCAAATGTGACCCACAGCACACGAGGCCTCCCTGAATGGCAGCTCGACCAGGGCTTGCAGAAGCAGATGCAGATGCAGCCTTTGCTGGCTGAGAGCTGGCGTCTCCATGGTTTCTGCTTCCAGGCCCTTCCAGCCCAACTTCCCTGATGATCCCAGTCTTTCCTGTTCCTCGGCCATTCTCCTGGGCAGGGCATGAGGATGGGCAGCCAGAAGATATGATGACGCTATCCCATACCAGCCTCCAGCCTGCTCCACACTTGCTAGCTGTGTCATGGAGGGTGGGGGGCGTGGCTGAGTTGGGCCAGTGATGCCCAGGGCCCTCTCCACAGGGGATATGGCAAACTCCAGAGGTGCCTGAGCAGCTCAGCATCCCCATCTCTTCTAACATTTCCACTCAGCCTTTCTCACCGGGCAGCAGTGCCCAGGACTGTGGGGCCACCAGTAGCAAAGGTGACAGGATGTGATCTTGGCAGGGAAACAACATCACCCACCTCCTTCCAGGCCTGGAGGTGGCCGCAGTGGGAGACACGTAGGGGCCAGACCAGTGAAACTCTTGGATGGGCACCTGTCACCCCAGGCAAGCAGACTTCCAACCCCCTCGTGCCCAGGTCTCCTGGACACGATGCCTGGAGCAGCTGCCTCGTGCTTTCTGGTGCCATTTGCTGGGTGTCTTGCTCCCCAGGGTGCTGACGTAGGTGAAAGACCCTGCCATCAGTACAAGCAGCGGAGCTCCCCCTGAGCTCATGGGAAGGCAGGCGTGGTCCCTCTTGGTGTGTGCATCTCTGGTGACCCACCCAGGCCCCTCGTCGCCGAGATGCGCAGGCAGTGCGTGAGCTCCCCAGCGCATGGCTGCTGCCTGCTGAGCTAGGGGTGGAGGCGGCCTAGAGGCATTTCTGGCACAAAGGACATGCCTGTGCTCATGGGTTCTCATGCTGCCCCAAGGGAGCACAAATGCCTTATGCAAGGGTGCTCTTAGATGTCTTGAACTTGGCAGGAAGGCCCTAAGGAAAGCCTGCAGCAAGCAGACAGAGCAAACTGGTGAGGACCTAGGGCCATCTTTGTGCACAGTGCCTGGATCCAGGCTTGTTCACAGGGTAGCTATGCTGGAGGGGCTGGTGCACCGCACGCCCATCCTGACACCATGGCCTGGCTTCCCCCCACTCAAGAACTACTGAAGAACCACCCGATGCTGGCTGCAAGGCTGCTGCTTAGCAGAGAGTGGCAGAAGCATGCAGCGGGCTGTGGGCACCACTCGGTGAGGGTATGATGTGGTGTTCGAGTCTCTCGGCGTGAGGGAGGTGCAGGAATCTGCCCAAGAACTGCAGCAGTGCTGGGAGAAGCCATTCTCCCTGGGGAAGCAGAGGGGAGAGGAGGCTGGTGCTGGCACTGACCTGCCACTGCAGCAGCCATGGGCACATGGGTGTTTTTATGCCCCAGCTATGCTGTATGTCTTGACTGCAGGGGGACAAGGCTTCAAAGTGCTGGCTTTAAATCACAGCAGCGTCCCTGTCATCAACACATCCTGTGTCTATTTATAGGTGCTCAGCTCTCGGAATAACACACAGAGGCCATTGGTGCTCATCTGGGCTATTATATAACAGCGCATCGCTGCTCCGACACAGATAACTGGCTGCACTCCCCTCCTGGCGAGGAGTGGGGATACCTGGGACACATGGCCCGATGTGCCTTTAATCAGCCTTTGTCTGTCAGGGATTGCAGCACTTAGAGTGGACAATCCCATCCACAAAGGGCCACGTTCCTTCGCCTGAATCCAAAATCCTCCCCCTCTGCATTCAAGGACTGGGCTTTCAGCTCCCCAGTGCTGCCCTGGCAGGCTCTTTGGCCTGAATTCATTTCTGGGCAGGTCTGGCTGCTCGTGCAGCATTTGGGGGAGAAAGCCTCGCTCCACATGCACGCTTGTTACTGAATAGGCAACGATCTACTCTGTAGGTACAGAATCCAGCCCCAAACGGCTGATCGCTAATTCCATCCCCTTGTCTGCTTTAACTAAGACCTTTCCTCCTGCATGTATAATTTTCATTAGTGCTGAAGTTATTTTCAATTTGTAATTAACGCCGTCTGCTTCCCAAGATGCATGTCTTGATGGAATGAAAGCCTCCAGACAGTCTTGGGGGCCCGGCTCAGGCGAGGCGTGCAGTACCCGGGAAGGGCGGTAGATGTCTCTCTTTGCCTTCCTACGGCCCGCGCCTGGCCTGGCACCGTGATATAGTGCGTGATTCCGAAATGGCAGCTTTTTGAAAATTCACCTTGATTATCAGACATTAAAAGTGACTCATCCCGCAGTGACTGTCTGGCAGAAGGATGGGATCAGACAGCAGACAATGAGGGACTGGACGCATTAACACAGTATATTACAGAGCCCATCAAAAATACCTTTGTTCTGTCAAAGATCCAATCATTTCCTAGTTGTGTTCCTCTGAAGAGAAAGAATAAAAAAAACCATAAGAATTTAAAGCCTCCCCCAGCCTGGCGTTCTGGGAGGGGAGGGACATGTTTTCTTAATGCCCGATCAACATGCGCAGCGAGACGGGACAATGGGGACGAGCGATGCCGCGCAGCGCTGCTCTGCTCGGAACGACTATCAAATTATGACTCCCAATGCCGCTCATTGGAAACTCATTAGCGGGAGATGCACAAGCGAAGTATTTGTGGCTGCACTCACCTCTGCCACAATCTTCTAATCACACGCAGCATTACAGCACAGGACAAAACGGGGCTTTTCACACTTAATATTAAAAAACTCCAACAATGGAGCTTCAACCTGTAATCACCCCAGCACATTTCATCTGCCCAGGGAGAGGCAGTTTAGAAATGCCACCGCTGATAAGTACCTTATAAGCAGATATAATAGCCCATAAGTACAAGCACAGAAGCCTTCGCAATCGCTGTACAGCCTGGAGCCCTGCAGCAGACACACATGTGTGTTTACACTACAGAGAGCGTGGGTGTGTGGCTGGGTGAGACGTGCTAGGTCCCCTGCACTGCTGTGTGAGCAGCTGGCACGCTCGCCTGAGCTCCTGCGGAGACAGAAACAGCCCAACCGGGAGGTTCTGGCTCTGGTTTTATCGTTGTGATCGCTGGCTGATGCAGCCAGGAAAACTGTCCAGGGCTAAGCAGAGTCTGTATCAGTCATGGAAAATACCCCAAAGGGAGCATGCCACAGATCAAAGGCAGCTCTGCAGCCTGCGCTCACGTGGCTTCCCCTGCCAAATACTTTCAGTAATATGATTACAGCCCAAATTCCATAAACACCAATTTCCCATCTGTTTAATAGTCATATGGTTCTGTGTCACCAGAAGCTCCTCTGCCCCACCAATTGTGAACAGCCCATGGGAGCAACACCATGCACAAGGCGACAGGTCCCGCATAGGGCACAAGGCGGAGGGGGTGGGATGCGGGCAGTGCCATGGCAGACGCTACAGCCACAGGCGTTAGAGTTGCCCTGCAAACCAGGAGGCTGCCGCAGACACAGACAATAGCTCTGGCCTGTCTTGGAGCATTTGTGAGCCCTCCTTGCTCCTCGGGCCCCAATGTCAGTCCCAGAGGCAGGACGGTGCAGCCTGCAAAGCCTCCCACCCTGCTTCTTGGTCTCTGAACTACAGCGGGGAACAGTGCTTTCCCTTTGCTCAGGAACGGGCAAAAGCAGGTGCAGGCATTGGGGTGACAGGCCGGAGACCAGTCAGCTCCTCAATAGAGACGTTGCCCTCAGATTTACGGCATGCTTCCCAGGAAGCAGCGAACATAAACACGCAGTATGCAAAATCTCTGCCTGAACCTGATGAGCAGATGAAGCGGGGGAGAGGAGGGTCCCAACCGCCCACACACTGAGAGTCTGTGGCACTGGGCGAGACTCATGAAAGGGAAAACAGGAAGAGAGTTTCCACTGGTAGAATGTTAATGAGCCCGAAAGGTTATTGCTCTGCCGTTCTAGTGATAATTTCCAATTCTCTGTGTTCACAGGAAACCGGTACCTCAGGTCTAATCACATCTGGGTACTGTCTGGAGCAGACACTGTACGTTTGGCTGGTGTGGAATATCAACACACACACACACCCTACCAGCAGCATGGTCAGAGTCTAGCAGGGAGAAATAACGAATGGGAAAGTCTTGCATTGCAGCTTTGCATTCTGCAAATGAAAATGATCTCATTATCTCTGCCAGGGACCCAGCCGGTCACTTGAAAAAATACATATTAAAAACCCTCTGCAGCTCCAGGGAGCCAGTCCGCTCCATGAGGAAAGAGAGAGGCAGGGACGGATGTGCAAAAACAAACATCACGGGGAACAGTGAGGACAGCACCAGTGCTGGGAACCTGCCTGGCTGCTGCTGGGACTGGCTTTCCAATACTGGCAAATCCTGAACTAAAGCAGGGAGCACAGGTGCCAGGTGCTGCCCATCCCTCCCTGGGTCCCCACCACAACACCCCACGGAGCACACGATGCCCTTTCTCAGGCCTGGGGGAGAAGCAACTAGAGTCTAAGCTACCTGCCCATTAGATCAACACTGTGTACCCAAAAGAAGATGAAATCAAAGCTAGCTTCTCATTTCCCTCAGCCAGCCTGGAGGGTGGTGGGAATGCCTCCCGCGTGTGCTGGAAGTGGGGTCCCTGCCTGGGCAAGGACAGCAATCGTGGTGTGCGCTTTGATGGGTGGTACCTCTCTCAGTGCCGTGCTGCATTTGCTCCTCGTGGAGACCACTTCTGCCTCTGCTCCAGCCAGCTGGGCCTTTGCTTCTTGTACCTGCAGGTCAAAATGACATGGGGCTGGTTAGGAGCTGTCCTCCATTTCTGTAGGGAATTGAGAGACCAAATCAGCAAAAGGTGGGGAGGGGGGCAGATGAGGGAGGAGGAGAGAGCAAATGGAAAGTGGAAACCCCCAGCTATGATCCCAGCATGCTGTCATGCTTGGCTCTGGTCTCAGTCACAGCCATTAGCCTGCACATGCCACACGTCAACTGTATGACTGACACAACGCCTTGACAGTGGACACGTCTCCCTGGCAAAGCTGCAAGCTGCCCAGGCCGAAGGAGAGCTGGATAGTGAGGGAAGATCTGGGGGGAGACAGAAGGACCAAGGCATGATGGGAACAGGGGGTAGGGGTGGGATTGTGAGGCCAGCGTGGACAGAGGGAAGTGGTAGGAGCGTGCACGGGGAGCCCCAGGGCTGGGGAACTGGGCACAGATGGGAGCCTACAAGGTGCACACTTTCACAGCTGTGCTAGTGCCATGCAAGAAGAAAGCCTTGCCTGGTGGTACCTTAGATGCTGTCAGGCACAAGCTGCCTTCTCTGGGGCCTGGAGGAGAAGCAGAGAGAGGACATGCTAAGTGCCATTATAGTTTCATAGTTTCTAGCGTTGGAAGGGACCTGAGCAGATCATCTAGTCCGACCCCCCTGCCATGGCAGGAAAGAGTACTGGGGTCAAACGACCCCAGCAAGGTGTTCATCTAGCCTCTTCTTAAAAACCCCCAGGGTAGGAGCCAGCACCACTTCTCTTGGAAGTTGGTTCCAGACCCTAGCCGCCCTGACCATGAAGTCGCGCCTCCTGATATCTAGCCTAAATCTACCCTCTGGCCAGCTTGTGACCGTTATTCCT